CCCGGAATGTCGCGCCCGCCAAATATAGCAGGTGCCTTGCCCGTCGGTTTCGCGCCTGCCCGCCCGAGCCGCGCCTCGCCGAACCACCCTCGCCCGCCGGGCCTCCGAGATCCTGCGTCTCACGAGCTCCGCGAGCTCCCCAAAAAAGCAACGCAGCAAACTCCCCGCCCGCCCTCCTCTCCGCGTCCCGATGTCTGCGCTCCCGGTCGCGGCGCCGAGGCGACTGACAGCGCACCGCTCTCACCACCTCCGCCCCGCGTCGACCTGCTGACGGCCCCGACCGAGCCCGCCATGTCTCGCGCGCCGCTCCTCTTGCGATCGTCGCCCGCCCAGGGCACCGGGTCCTACGGCGTCCTTCCGACCCTGAGCACGAGCTCTTCCAGCTCCGAAGCTGGCCCCGCTGACGCAAACGAACCCCAGCCCGCTCGTACCCGGAAAGGGAAGGGGAAAGGGTTGCTCCGGCACAGCGAACCTGTCGGAGATCGCTCGGGCTTGACATTTGGGAGTCGTTCGGATACAACCTCCAGGGAGCAAGGGCTTGACTCCGGGGCCAGGATAAGTCGTCGGAGCGCAGCTCGCAGCGCTCACGGGCGCTCTGAAGGCCATTTCGGCGAGCCTGGCGCTGACCGGGATCGGTCTTCCGATGGCTTCAAAGCTGGAAAGGGTGAAGATACGCCATCATCCAGTGCCGCTGCGCAGACCTCGAGCTCCAGCGGCGATGACGATGGCGAAGACGAAGACGGAACACCCGATCACGCTGTCGGGGACAAGGGCCATTCAGAGGACCCCCCCGATAACTCTCCTTATGCCGAAGTGCGAGCTGCCGTTTCACCAACGGACGACACCACCTTGTCCATCAACACTCCGCGGATGTGGACCCTATCAATTCTCTTTGCTGTTCTAGGTTCATCTACAAACCTGTTCTTCTCCTTGAGGTATCCTAGCGTCAGCATAACTCCTGTCATCGCCCTCCTGCTTGTCCACCCTCTTGGTCTTCTGTGGGATCAACTTCTGAAGGGGAATAATGACCCCGATGAGACCTTCGTGAATGGGACATTGGTCTGTCAGTCGGACTTGAGCGGTGATACGCAACCTTTTCAGCAAGTACCATCGCATGATGGGTCGATCATATCCGCGGCTCAATCTCGCAGCCTACACGCACGAGGCTCGTGGAAACGTAGATTACGAATTTGGCTAGCTCAAGGCAGGTGGAACGAAAAAGAGCATTGCTGTGTCTACATAAGCAGTAACGTTTCCTTTGGGTTTGCGTTCGCAACTGACGTACGGTCAACCTTTTTCCTTCCCTGTGGCCATTATTCACTAACAACGTGCTATAGGTTATCGTGGAACAATCAATGTTCTATCATCAGAAGCTTGGAGTGAGTTATCAGATCTTGCTCACAATATCGACTCAAGTCCTTGGATATGCTATAGCTGGACTTACCCGCCGATTCCTTGTGAGACCAAGTGGCATGATATGGCCGGTGACTTTGATGTCCACCTCTATGTTCGCTACTCTGCACAAAGAGGACAACAAGCCAGCAAATGGCTGGACGATTTCTCGCCCAAAATTCTTCCTAAGCGTCTTCGGTGGCTCTGTAGTCTTTTACTTTTTGCCCGGCCTGCTGATGCCCGCGCTGAGCTACTTTAGCGTTATCACGTGGTTTGCGCCTAAGAACGTGGTCGTAGCGAACCTCGTAAGTTCTACTGTCCCTTGACGCCCTTGTTGTATGTTGACTAATAGCCTACTAGTTCGGCATTGCGTCGGGCCTGGGGTTATTTCCCTTGACTTTTGATTGGGCCCAAATTGCGTATATCGGGTCCCCACTCGTCGTACCTTTTTGGGCAGCGATGAATATTATCGGTGGACTGGTTCTGGTGATGTGGATTATGGCTCCGATTATGTGTACGCTCTTCTCAAGTGTGTGCGACTATTCTGGGATCGCTAAAGTTTGCTGCAGATTACGCCAATGTCATGTACTCATCGTACATGCCGATCTTATCCTCAGCTGTGTTCGACAATACTGGCAAGCCGTACGATGTCAGCAAAATCTTAACTAAGGATTTTGTGTTCGACAAGGTCGCATATAACAACTACAGCCGGGTATTCCTTCCTATCACCTACGTCCTTAGCTACGCCCTGCAATTCGCTGCTCTTGCTGCCCTAATCACGCACACTGCTTGTTGGCATGGTCGTGACATTTGGAGACAGTGGTGTAGGTCGCTTAGAGAAATCCAAAGCGATGGAAAAGGATCATACCAACCCCTCCCATTTGCAAATGGCGACGGCAGTCGCTCTAGCACAATTATTTCGAGGACTAGCGATCGAATGAACTCCTCGGAGCCAACTTTAGATAATCTGATGGGGGCTGAAGACGTTCACAACCGACTGATGAGACGGTACGACGACGTGCCCATAAGCTGGTACCTAGCTACCGGTGTCGTAATGACCGCCATTGGAATCTTCATTGTTGAGTAGTATGTCCTTCTCACCAAAAATCCTCGCGCATCTACTAATTTCAAGCCAGCTTTCCCATTCATTTGCCATGGTACGGCCTTCTCCTAGCGCTCGGGATTTGTACCACACTATTCATCCCAATCGGCATCGTAATGGCAATCACAAATCAGCAAAGCAGCCTCTACCTCATTTGTCAGTTGATCTGTGGCGTCGTGTTTCCGGGGCGTCCCGTGGCTAACATGGTTTTTACCACTTATGGCTACGTATGTTGAACCCCATATAACTTGGAAAGGAGAGTACTGATTTCATCCCTAGATAACCTCCACCCAGGGTTTAAAGTTCTCATCTGACCTGAAACTGGGACATTACATGAAAATTCCTCCTAAGATACTCTTCACACTTCAAACGTCCGCAACTATCGTATCTAGTTTAACCCAGATCGGAGTACTCAATTGGATGCTCGCTCGTATCCCTGGCATTTGTACGCCGTCCGCCATAAATGGCTTCACTTGCCCCCTTGCGCGAGTCCACTTCAACGGAAGCATCCTTTGGGGAGTTGTTGGCCCCGCTCGCTTCTTTGGACCGGGGGCTTTGTATCGGCCGTTGGTATGGGCTTTCCTCCTTGGTGCTATCGCGCCTATAATCATATGGTCATTGGGCCGCAACAACAAGCGTAGTTTTTGGCGGAAGGTGAATCTGCCAGTCCTTTTTGGGAGTTTGTCTTGGATACCTCCTGCCACTGGTCTCAACTTCTCAGTTTGGGCTCTTGTATGCTGGATTTTTAACGATATCATAAGGAAACGAAGGCCAGAGTGGTGGGGCAAGTACAACATGACGCTGAGCGCTGCGCTAGATTCCGGCCTAGCCATGGGCGTCGTGGTGATATTCTTTGCGGTTTTATACCCAGGTTGGATGCAAGGGTTCAAGTGGTGGGGAACTGAAGTTTACAAACAAGTGAGTTTGGGTTGGAGACCTTACAAGACATTGCAAATGCTGGGGACAAGTTTGCTGATACGTTTCGTAGGGATGCGATTGGAAAGCCTGTTCGTACCGGACTCTAGAACCCGGAGAGCACTTTGGGCCAGAAGTCTGGTGAGGGATTATGCTAACGGAAGGGCATTATTCATGAACTGGTAGCATAAGTGGCGTTGATGAACATGTCCTTTTCAGTCTTAGAGTTTAGTCGATGGGGTCAAGTAGATATTGCATATTATTTCTGTCTGGTTCATGGCGTAGGAAATGACCGGATGAGTTATACCTGATGAAGCTGTTATGACGCGGGCGCAACAAATCTAAGGCTTCGAAAATTATGGTCTTGCAGCAATTTAGGTGCGAAGAGAAAATCGCAGGGCTAACGAAAACAATGTCATTCTCTTAGGCTGCAACCAGCCCGATGATCGAAACTAGTATATGATAGTGCTTGTTTGGTAATACATAATAGCATGAATGATCCGCAAAAGATTACGCGTTTCCGTGGACTTTTGGCAATGCTTCTGTTTTAGGTGAACAGTGGTTGAATGGCGCGCGGTTACATCAATGCCAAGACCAATGACGTCCACATCCGAACGGAGCTCCTTCTTCAGCTCAAAAGCGCATCAAACCCAACATCCTCCACCTCCTATCTCCTTCACAATTCGCGAAACTGAAAGACAATTCAATTACATAACTAAAAAGGTACAGCCCCGTGGTGCATTGCAAAGTTTTCCGTCTCTATAAAACTAACTGTCTCAGGCCTTCCAAGCACCCTGGTACGTACCCGACCGTGGTATGACTGGCTTTGCGCGTGCTCCACGAAGCCCGTTATTCCAACTTCGGCGGAGCTAACAGAAGATCAAGCAAATCCTTCGTAATGTCTGCGCCAAACCAGGGCCGTCAGTCTCCGCCGCCGGAACGTCAAACTGGCGCCCAGCTCAACGAGCCGACTTCCACGCAGCCGAATGAACAGGGCGCTGCTCCCTCACTCGATCATGCCAAGGAGGCCTCTGAGGACCAGAAGTCTAAACTGCCGTCCAACCCCGTTCACCCGCTGGAGAAGTTTGCGGAGGAGAAGTCGTCAAAGCAATAAACTAGTTACTAGTGTCGTTCCGAAATCCAATCCTGTTGGTGGTTGGTTCGAAGGATTATGAGAATCGATTATGTAAAATAGACACAAGGTTTCGGTCACTGAGACCATAATGGCATGAAATACTTATGCGCGAGATTCGACATGTCTTAATAGGCTCTACTGATTGCTAGCATCATTTGTCTTCCGACGGACTCTGAAAATTGCCATTCATGTTTGCCTCCGCTTGTTTTAGCCAGTTCGCTATCAAAATCGACGAGCTATATTTAATTATGCCAGAGTCTACATCCTTACTATAACGGTGAAAGCAACATAGTGAAAGTTAAGGATAGGATGCTAATTACGCGCTAGCTATTGTACTCACTAAAATTGTATCGTGACTTTGGACAGTTGCCCTATCAACTTTTGGAAGTTGAATCTTTCTTAACCAAAAAATTATTTGTGGTTATATTGCTAAAGTGCTGGAAAATATATATGCTTGGGCACTTGGTCTAGGGGTATGATTTTCGCTTCGCATTGACCAACGTGCGCCTGTGAAAGGTCGGGGGTTCGAATCCCCCAGTGTCCAGCTTTTTGACATTTCGAGTTCAAAAGTTTTACATTCAATGGCCAGAATTTGTTTTGTACTTAGTATCTTTTGGGGCTTATTATTTTTGGGTTTATTATATATAATCCATTGTTGTAGCAAAGTTGGGAAGTAATGACTTAGCCCCACCAAGGTACTGTGAAGTGATTATCGAGCTAAGGGAGATGAAGACTCCGTAATGTTAAGGCATTGCTAAAAACGTACACACAAATTTCACGAGAGCTGTCTTAGAGCAATACTTATTGATGAATCAACAGGCTATGCTCGGTTGGATTGACTGTCTAGTTTCCCTGAGGTAAGGTTGCAAATCTCAAAACTGAAATTCGTGCTGATCCTAGCCCTCTAGCCAAACTAGCTCTGTTCCGGCCCACTATACGTAAGTTACTCGTAGTCTTCATGCACTACGCATGCGCCCTTTTCTCGGTGAAGTCGATGGATATTGGTCGTGTTTCTAAAGCATCATCGCACCGTTCGTGATACAATTATGTAGTTCTTTAATAGCTTTTCATATAATATGTAAGCAGAAAACACTTCAGCACTGGTATCCAGTATAAAATGATATATTTATTATATTCAATATTCAGAAATTTTCTGGAGGATCAATATACTGCAAAGAACAAGAGAGTTGAACTTGTGGCGTCGTTGCTTGATAGACTCCGAACACCGTATCTGGACGAAAGCGGGGGAAAAGCCAGCCGCGAATTGTGCTTCAAACCGTAAACCGAAGCATTTATACCGACGGCTCCTCCGGGGGAGTGGTGCAAACGCCAAAGTCAGACTGGCAACCCACGATGCAATGCCCAGGCGTGTCGCCGCAGTAGCCGCTCGAAGAGCAACAATCGCCGAACCCGCTCCCCTCGCACTGGTACCCAGCCTCTCCGCCGCACGTCCCGTCCGGAGTCATGTCCGGGGCCTCGCAATTCCCAAAGTCAGTCTGGCAACCGGCGTTGCAGTGCTCCTCGGAGCCACCGCAGAAGCCGAAGGGGGAGCAGCAATCGCCGAAGGCGGAGCCCGCGCACGTGTAGCCGGCCTCGCCGCCGCAGGAACCGTCGGGCGTGAGCGTCGCATTCTCGCAGTTGCTGAATTCGGCCTGGCACCCGGCGTTGCAGTACTCGCCGCCCGTGCCGCAGTAACCGTTCGCGCTGCAGCAGTCGCCGAAGCCAGAGCCAACGCAGGTGAGAGAGTAGGTGCCGCCGCAAGAACCGTCGGGGGAGACGATGGCGCCCGATCCGGGCTCCTCAGGAGCTCCCGGTTCCTCAGGAGTTTCCGGTTCCTCAGGAGTTCCCGGTTCTTCCGGAGTTCCAGGTTCCTCCGGCGTCTCTGGGGGAGCCGGTTCTTCCGGCCCCTCAGGGTCCTGGCGCATCACTGTGGGTTCCCCGTTAGTGGAATTCGCGACGCTTCTGCAGGAGTGAATTACCAAGGTCAGCCCGTTCCGAGTCTGTAGTGGGAGCAGCTTGCCCAATAGCTGCCAAAAGGAGTGTGGAGGCAAGCAATGATGCCCGAAAGGAATTTGAAAACAACATCGCTGCTGGTTGGTGATATAGGTGCCAAGAAAATCTGTCAGGTGGAACGGTACTTGAAGAACTGTACGGTGTACTGATCATCCAGCGAACACACCGTTGACCTCGCGATCGACTTCATGGGAGTGTTGAAGGGGCGTGTCGCAAAGCATTTATACTTGATGGGTCGACAAGGAACTTGCTGCCAACAAAGCTCCCGAGTAGCTTCTTTGGGCACGGACGACGAATCAACAGGGTCTCTGATTATTAGAAATTCGGGGAGTGGATAACGTGGCGCTGAACACCGGGTAAACAATAAAAGACCCTGTCTGAAAGTAATTGAGGGCTAGCTTTTCAATATACTCAACGGCCCGAGCGCAATTTACGCGTTGATCGACAGAATCTTTAGATCTATGAATGAGTCCACGAAAGCGGCGCTCGAGGAGCCTGGCGAGCTAAAAATTCGAGTGCAAGCCCCATGCACTGACGACGTTCCTGCGTTCGCGGAAGGCATACCCTTCCGCACTATGAACGAGACACAGATATAGTGTGGAGTATGCGTGCTTTAATCTAGTGTCGCGCGGAAATGCTTGATGCGACCTATAAACCTGGTAAGTATGTCTCGCTTAGTATATGTAGCCCGTCAGTGCCGAAGTCGTTTTATCGCCTGTATTTTATTACACCCACGGCTCTAGCTCACAATCTGGGTTAAGATCGTTGCGGGGAAATATGGCAACTACATTACGAGCCGAAGATCAATATGCAGTTGAGTCGCCGTAGCTCGATCGCGCTAACGGTGTCGAGCTAGGGCGACCAATTGGTGTAGAGAAGGATGCTCTTGGAAAGTTGAAATTGAAATTTCCGAATGCCAGGGAAACGAGAGAGAATAAGAAATTGAACTTATCTCCCAGGGAAAAGGGACCTGGTTTTCAACATAGAAGAGAAAGAATAGAACCGATGTTCGGCCACTTATTGGAAGTAGGTCCTCTAAGGCCTACCTACTCACTGATAGTCCCGATGGCGCGAAGAATCCACCGGCAATTGTTCCACAAATCTGAGAGACAAAAAAAATTGCAAGACGAGCCTAGTCGGCTTTTTGGAGGAGCAAATCCGCATGCCAATAGACGCAAAGCACACTCACTTTAGTTCGGTGCGTTGTCTACGGTGGAAGTTGGTCGCCGTTACTGTACAGGTCGTATATACTCTGCCATTAGGTCTCCCCGAAAACGAAAATACCTTTACCCTTCCTGAAGCCTTGCAAGGTCCCGGAGACGGCATCTACAAGAGTCTCCTGTTCGGTATTCCAGTCCCACTTGACTTCTTGCATCGGTACGTCCTTGAACTTTCCTTCTCGGATGAGATTCAGCACATGATTCACTGTTTCTTTCTTCTGCACCGGGTTGGAGTCGCTCCACTTGCTCACCCAGAAGCCGTCGAAGTGAATATTCTTGAAAATGAGCAATGGCGCAGGTAGTTGCACGGGCTGCTTAGACATGGCACCATATGTAACAAGGTGCCCCTCCGAGGATAGGGCTTTAGCCATAGACGTTGCAAGCTTACCGCCGACACAGTTTAGGCCGAGCTTGACGTGCTCCCGGCCCCCATTTGTCCATTCGTTGACCCGAGCCATGAACTCTTTGGACTGAACTTCTTCATCCGTGACCACGACATCTGCCCCGACGCCTTTAAGGTCCGCCTTTAGCTCCTCCATCCCGCTGTCACGGGCCCTGACGACGTTGATGCTCTTGTAACCCCATAGCTTTCCTAGCTGAATAGCAGCCCTTCCCACTCCACTGTTGGCGCCGTTCTGGATGAACCAATCGCCAGCGTTCATGTCGGCGAAGTCCTTGAGCATCCGGTACGCTGTGCACGGATTGACAGAGACAGTTCCGACTTGATGCGGTGTCAAGCCCTCCTTGTTTTCAATCCTTAAAAAATTATCCGCCGAGGCCGATTGAGCGTGCGTGCGCCACGTGCCGAAACCAGGACTCTTCATGATGACCCAATCTCCTTTCTGCAGGCCCTTGACGCCCGAACCCGTCGAAATGACCTCGGCAACGCCCTCATTGCCGCCGACAGCGATGGGTTCCGTCGTGCCGAGCGAAGTGGTAAATGCGGGTTTGCTGGGGTAGATGCCCTGGACCTGGTTGATGTCGGCAGGGTTGATCGGGGAGGCGAGGAAACGGACGGTGAGGTTGGTGGAATGGGCGGGCGAGATGGAGTGCGTGTGCAGGCGGAGGACGTCGGCGGGCTCGCCGTACTTGGCAAAGGTGAGGGCTTTCGCTTGCTCGTAGCCGTAGGCGGAGATGGCGCGGGTCTGCGGCGCCTTGACAGACGCCATTGCCAGGCGGGCCGGCGCGTGCCGGCTGCAGCAGGCGCGCAGCGGCTGCAGGGCGCGACTCGAGGCCATTGTCGTGATGCCGGATCGAATGGCTGGTTGGGTGGGCACGGAGAGGAGACGAGAGAAAAGGCGCTGGCTTGTGACGTAGGCAGCTCGTCTGTCGGGTCGTTTCGGCTCGGCTCGGCTTGCCGGCCTGGGGCACCCGTGGCCGCCCGCCGATGACGTGCGGAGAAGCCTCGCTATCGCAGCTTCAATCGCCGGCGTCTTGCGCCGGCTGCAGCGCGATCTGATCCGACGAGTGTTGATCTGGATGCTTGTCGATAGGGCTGGCGGGAGGGCGCCTGGGGTTGGGCTTTTCGCCCCGGCCTCTCTCGCAGACCTCTCGAGACCTGCGAGGAGAGCGGCGGCGTGCTCCCGGCCTGCAGGGAAGAGATTTGCAAAGCCCGCGGGCCAACTGACGTCTTATCAGCAGCGGTGGAAAAAGGAGCCCCGGCGGAGGGTGGGCTAGTAGGGATCAGCCGCGTCGTGACTATCTGCTGTAGCTCGTGCTGGCGGGCAGCCGCCGGGCAGGACCCCGCCGCCGGGGCGCAGCCCTTCGTCAATCGTGCATGGGCGCGCCTGCCGGACCCATCAAGAATCTAGACGCGTTCACTTGAAGCTTTTCTTTTTCTTCGTCCACGCCGGGACGAGCCACTCCCACACGGCCCGTCAGACTTTTAGCCCCGCTCTCCCTCGTCCTCCCAGATGGTCCGTCCCAGGCCCTTCTTCCTACAAGTATAGGCTGTCTCAACCTCCGACGACCTGCGCCCCTCCCGCTCCCTCTCAGTCCACGTCGGATTCCTTCCCGGAACCCACCCTTTCCCGCGCCCACACTTGCTCCGCCCGCCAAGGCCATGGCTGCCGAAGATGTGCCCCCGCCGCTCGAGGGGAAGAAGCGTCGCGTCGGAGTCATGACCAGCGGCGGCGACGCCCCCGGCATGAATGGCGCCGTCCGCGCCGTCGTCCGCATGGCTATTGCCAAAGGCTGCGAGGCCTACGGCATCTACGAGGGCTACGAGGGCCTGGTCCAGGGCGGCGACATGATCAAGGAAATGCAGTGGGACGATGTCCGCGGCTTCCTGTCCGAGGGCGGCACCCTCATC